TTGGCTTGCTGGACGTGGGCATGCTTTATCACCTCTACTGCCCTGCCCCCTGCCTCACCTTGTCTTGCTTTGCCTCACCCTGCAGGACGAGCCTCCTGCCCACCGTCCCACCTGCCAGAGACCTCCTGGATCTCCCCCAACCCTGTCCGGCCCCCACAGGTGTCCGTCCCCATGAGTAACATTGAGGTGGTCACGCCCACCCAGGCCACGCCCACCCATGCTACCATGACCACCATAGCCATGCCCACCATAGCCACTCCCACTATGTGGCCACTCCCACTCTGGCCACGCCCCCGGCACTCGGCAATGCGTAAGTGGGTTTCGGGTTGCAGTTTGGGCACTCGGTCTCAAAAAGGTTCGCCACCACTGCGTTAAACCATACTCAACTTTTCTTGAAACTGCATGGCAACTTCAAAGAGCGACTGTGTGATCCAGGAAAATCTTTACTTTAAAGCTTTAAAAAAATGGAAGCAGTGCATATTTACCAGTGTAGCCTAAAGCATCTTTTTGCATTTGAAACAGCTCTAATAATGCAGGGGTTCAATTTCCAAATCAGTGGATACAATTACTTCTATGAAACAAAGGTGAAATTTCTACTATAATAAGTAAGAATTTAGAGGAGCAACCCTTGCAGCTATTTCTTATGTTACTTCCCTTTGTTAATATGAGCTGGACCTATGAATAAGTAGTCCTTGACTTAAGATTGGTCATTTAGTGACCAAAGTTACAACAGACCTCCCTGAGGGTACTTACGACTGGATTTGAAGTTCTGACAGCCTCCCCCCTCCACAGTACTGTGACTTCACTTCAGGCGCTTGGCAACTGGCCTGCCTTTATGGCCATTTGCAGCATCCCATGGTCACATGACCATGGTTTCCAATGTTTTGCAGAAAACTGGCACTTTCTTCCTTTTTTGGCAAAACTGGTCCATAGAAAACCATTGGTTCACTTAATGACCACTGCAAAAAAGGTTGTAAAATTGGGTTGGTCACATGAGTGACCCAATTTATGACCATCACAACTTACAACTGTGATGGGCAGCCTCCATTACAGTCGTAACTCGAGGACTACCCATTTGTTACATATTAAATTATATGCCCATAATAGTGTACATTTAACATTTCAAATTAGGATATTTTTACTCACAGTATATTAAATGTATTTATTGATTCTTCAAGAATCACATTACCTTATTAAAAACACAAAGGATGATTAATGTTTACTACTAGTTCCTAGCTCACATTCATCTGATAGTACTGGGAACAGACTCTGTCCCCATGATTCTCAAAGCATATACTCGGAACCAATACCATAGCTTTAAAAGCAACACACATACAACTACAAGCTATCTAGTAAGGGTATCTTAATTCTGAAGCAGCACTGCAGAAATCAAATAGAGCAATTTATGACAGCTTTATTGGCTGAAAACTCCACTTAGCTGTGAATGCTACATAAGATTTTGTCAAGTTCTCCTTTTTATTTAAGCTGTCAATTTGTAAAGCAGGAGCGAACAGTGGCCTATTTAATAAGATTATCAGACTTTTCCATCTTAGGCACACACTATCAAAAATCTAACTTATCTGTTTCTTTTTGCCTCCGTTTCCTTTATGCAGATTGTGATATATTATCTAAAGTACTTGGCACATTGCATTCAGCCACTAAATAAAATTTTGAGAATTCTCGCTTAGGCTCAGAAGCTGGCTAGGTGATTGTCCTAGTCACTGTCCCTCAGCCCCACCCATCTCACAGAGTTGTGAGGAAAACAGGAAGATGGAGTATGATATATGCCATCTTCAACTCCTGTTATAAAAGGCAGGATATAAATCTAATATAAATGCAAAGTATTTGGAATGTTGGAATGTTTAAAATAGAATTTTAAAAAATTATCAGGTGAACACCAATAACTAAGGAACACAAGTGAAATTATGCTATATCTAGAGCCCCTCAACTGTATGGCAAACCAAGAACAGTAATGTTTTAAGTACTTTGCACCATACTGACTTGCTTTTAATTAAAAGAATGAAAAAATAAATTCAGATGGACCAAGGAGCCTGCCAGATTCCAAGGAAGATACTGCTAGGCATACAAGGGCCTACAGGTGTCACTTAAAGAATGTATATTTTGTTCCAACTTCTTTACCTCTTCCCCATTTCAGTCACTGCTATAGCACATAAGATTGATTTAAAGCACGGGTGTCAAACTCTCCACATCACGTGACGTGACATGTCGCAACGTATCGCAACTCTTTTTGCATTGCCAGCAATGGGGTGGGCGCAGCTTCGGTATGATGAAACCGGCCCGCGGGCCGGCAGTTTGACACCTGATTTAAAGCATTGCAAAAAGTTCCTAATGGCATGAAATCATTTCACTTCCTTAGGTTTCAGGTGGAATAATGGCTTGACAGCCAGGGAGCTTCACACAGCTACAAAAACTCATTTTTCCCCAAATGACCAGACAAATGCAAATGATAGAAGTAAAAGAAAGGTCTTCAAAATTTAATATTGAAAGAGAAATTTAAAATTGAATTTGCTGCAGTGGAAATATACTGAGTAGAGAAAAAAAAACCTATAATGGTTGGGAACCAGGAAAGGAGAGCATAAAGAAAGGAAATAAGATAAACACATAGGCAAAAATAGCTGGGTCTTAGAGTGGGAAAAGGAAGAAGACAAACTATAAAAAATATAGCTCTAAGAGGAAATGGCTAGCCAGGAAAGACATGTTAAATTGAAAAATAGGAAAGAACCTATTGTTCTAAAAGGGGGACATAAATATCCACAGAGTTTAAAATAACCATTTAAATGTCTAATTTTTCTTCTTATTATTGTATATGTGAATATGATTTAATATGTTATCAGGAAATGTGTAAGAGGCGGTCGGAAAGAGTGTAACCTCATAGTACCTCAGCCAATGGGGAAAGAGGAGGGATGTGCAGCCAGGACAAGGATTGTATAAAGAAGGAAATATTTTGGGTTGGAACTTTGGAGAGAACCAAGTTCCATCTTTGGCAGCCGGGGATATTCGAAAGGGGAGTGCGCACCTGGGTAAGTTTTTCCCAGCCCTAAAGGTCAGATTGCCCCTGCTCAAACAAGGAGGAATTGGAAATCCCGAGACAAAAAGCCAGGACCCAGTGAAAACCTAAGGGAACGTCGGCCGACTCAAGGAAGGACTTCAACTCTGCCTTACAGGTAAGATACCAGAGGGGTATCCATGGCAATAAGAGTTTGAAGAGGAGGGATGCCTCCCC